TCTTATTTTTTTTTTTCCTCCCTAATTTTTTTTTTTTCCTCCCTAATTTTTTTTTTTTTCCTCCCTAATTTTTTTTTCTCCCATGTCCCCTGGGGGGCTCCGTAAATTGCAAATGTAACATAAAAGGTCAATATATGCTGATAGATTACTCTTCATAAAAAGACAAAGTGGGATGGAGATGATTGACTTTTTAACAGAGCACCACAGTCTTAGACTAAGGTAGGTGTGGGGAAAACCACAGAGGTAAATTTAAGAAATTATTGTGCTTTAAAGGTGCATATTTAAATATGTAAATAATAAGTGCAAACACATACAAGGTAAACGCAGTTTTAGCAAAATAACTCAAGTATGAATTCACAGCTAATCCCTACATGAGTTTCTAGTTTCTACTGAATAGAGCATGTTTATTTTTTTAAATGATGGTCTCATTAGTTCAAAAATTGATGATAAAGCAGGGGATGCTTTAAGTTGCATGGAGTTATTGCTCAGTTTCTCAGTCGATCTCCGCCTCAATCATCACAAAGTCTAAAATGGGGATGGTGAAAATGCTCAGCTCGAGGCTTGACAAGCCACAGTGACATAACCATGGCTACATCCATCTTTAATGAACAGTCTATGGCTCTCTCTCGCTCAGTAGCCACTAAAATCCATGATTCACTTAGTCAGTCTCATCTGTGTAGTTTCAGTTTTTTTGTATATTCTTAATGATTTTATAATTTGTCACTTCTCTTTAGATTCTTTGGACAATACCACTGCTTGGCTCCAGGCAGCAGCGTCTGAGGTGGTGTCGCCGTGTGAGGCGCAGTCTGATTCTCCCGGTCCTGACAGCCGCGGTCCTTTCAGCCCCACCGCTGTCCTCAACCGGGCCTACATACGTCTTCTCCACTGGGACCCACAGGACCAGAAATATCCTGAGGTCAGCTGCCGTCTGAAAAATTACATCACGCCCATGCTTTTCATCGGACCCAGTGATATTTTATTGATTATGAGGGAATGTTCAGTTTGCCTACCCATTCCTCCTCACTGGTTAAAAGCATGTGAACTGATTTTAGACGCTGCATTAATATAATTGATGAATCATGACAGTTTGCATTTATATACTCTATGACCCCTGGAAATTCATCAATTACCTGTGGCTTCACAATCTTATTTAGGGTTATAACCATTAGACTCTTTATTGAGGTATTGATTTCATATTTATGCTGAAAACATTGCCCCCTTGTGACCCCAATCTGCCTTCCACGCACAGACCATCCTGATGGATCGGGCCCGCCTGGATGCTCTTGGTCAGCGGCTCCAGATGTTGGTCCTGGAGGCGTCGGTGCTGCTCTTGACTAACGCTCAGTGCGGCCGCGTCGTTTTCTCCCTGCAGGGGTTTGTAGGTAAACTCAGGCAGTCCATCACTGCCCTGCTGGAGGGCAGTCACACAAGGTAAGAGGAGGATGTGGTGATGCATGTACTGGCTGTCACAGGGAACAGGTATTGTATGAGAAAGAAACCAATGGAGGTGACATGAGGCAACTAGCTTGTCAGGACAGATCCAGCTAACCTCATTCTTTCTGTTCAAGAGAGGGCGTGTCATGATTAGCGGATAAATGTGGAACAGCAGCTTGTAATGTTCGAGGTCTGCTTGCACTCTGGTCCGAGCTGCAATAAAAGGCATTATTTAAACGCCAGAAGAGAAATCCTGAGCAAAATTAGAAGCCATTGCCATGGTTGAACATTTTTGCTTTGGTGTGTTGTAACAATGAATATCTCAAACTTGGCCTGGATTCATAGTTGACAAACTTCAAAAACTGAACCAATCAGCATGCGAGGTGAGGCTAACTTGTTAGAGCTGTTTAGGGGTACGAGGTTTATCTAACATTTGTGAGGAGTTATCAGCTATAATCAAGCCTGAATGTTCAGATCATCTATGAACTCTATGAACTGGATCTGTTTTACCTGACTGTCTTTTATGCATATACTGTTACCATGGTGGATGCTAATATTAAACATGACCAGAGTTTCAAAATAAAGCAGTCCTAGACCGCATATCTCCGCCATGGCTGAAGATGACCTCAAATCAATTTCATAGATTTGAAAAAAAATGTTTGAATTATTTTGTGATGTTTTCTTGAAAAAATACAAACAATGTTTGATATTTGGCAAGTTCTCCAATTTTGTCAGACATTGGTTTGTTTTGTTGTGTTTTTTTTAAACTCTGGCTCTAAATTTTGTCAACAAGAGCAGGTATCCTTAATATGGTCACAGCGCAGCCTGTGAGCACAGAAGCCCCACCTACCTGCTGTTCAAACCGTCTGTTTGACAGCGACAGCCAGTCAGAAGCAAGTTGGCTTAAAAGGGAGCGTGGTCTTAGAGTTAGAGGAGCTAACACTGTTTGTTTGAGATAGTAGAAGTAGTAGAAGTGGAGTAAGGAATATTTTGAACTTCCCCAACTTTAAAATGATGGAGTCTAAATGAGGATAATAGTTCTAATTTAAAATTTCTAACACTGTAGAAGCTGTTCTGAAAAATTGAGTTCCAGACAATCTGGCATTTGCTCTTCAAAATCTATTTCCATGTCAAACATCTGTGGCTCAATTACTCCTACGTTAGTTTTATCATTGCATAGCAGAAAGTAGTCTTTCAGTGTTAACTGTCAGAGCAAAGCAGATATGCCTCAGCAGCAGGCAAGCAGCAGACGAGGTGAGAGGACACAGAAGACGACACTAATTTGCATTTTCATAAATACGCATCTACTAAAAAGAGGCAAGGGTGTAGAATTATATTTAAGCCATTTTAAGGAGTGCACTCATGGAAACAAATGTGTAATTGTGAAAAACAAAGATGAGTTTGTAGGAGTTTAATCAATGGGCAGGAGAGGAACTTTAATCAAAATCCTGCTCTTGGAGAACTCCTTTATTACTTCCATCAGTTCCTGTGCATAGATGCGTAGGCCTGTGAGACAATATATGTCTGATGAAGAATGCTGATGGTTGGTCTGATGCCGGTTTCTGGTGCTACAGGGAAGCTGACCTGAAGGGGGCCTTGTTGGGGATTGGGGAGATAGTATTGCAGCAGATGTCTGAAGCGCTGGCTACTCAGGGAGGAGCAGCCCTGCCGGAGGAGAGCCAGGATCTGCTGAAGGGACAAATATCTGAGCTGTGGAAACACAACAACCCAGTCTGCGTGCTTATAGGTAAGACAGGATGGGGGAAATGAAATATATCCACATATTGGACTGACATCAGTGTGTATTACTATATAATGTCAGCTGTTTACGTTTTGTAAGGTGTGAGTGGAAAAAATGGCCATTATAGACTACCGTTACTGGAAAAACATTTTTAAAAGAAGTATATTTTACGTAGCAAAAACTCATGTTTGGAGAATCACAATTTTCAATGGACAGATTAAACTAATCAGTTAATTTGATCTTTTTTATTTGTGTAAAATGTCACAAGAAAGACCATGGTGATATCAGGATGTTGACGCAGATCATGTTCCTTGAAAAATAAATCCTCAAAGTATTTATTATAAAAACTACAGAGTATTTGCATATGTTTTTTCCTTCTTTTTAAAAAGCAATATTATCTTGTATTTTATATATTATAAGATTAAAATATTTATAATACAGATGAGCATCTACTCTGTATTTCTTTATATATTGCTTCCAAAAAGCCAGACTTTATTGTAGAGGTCTTGAGCAATGGTTCTCCACGCTTTCTGAAGGTCTTTTGAACGTGTGCTTTGACTTTTGCCTGCTTTTTCCACTCATTTTCTGTCCACTCCTTGTACCTGACCATTTTCACAGGAATATTTTTTGTTTGTTAAACCACTTGAACCTGACTTATGAGTCATTCAAATAAGCACTTAAGGGACAAACCAGTGTTTGTCACACTGTTATTAGCAGCCTGTTCCCATGTCTTCAGTTGAATCTATAAACAACAAGATGATTCCAAAGAGCTATTAGCTGAAAACTTGGCATATGTTGGCATGATGTCCAGTGTGTCCTCAAAGACATTGAGAAGGCATCAGGTTTTTGGTTAAGTTCTTACTTCATTAAAATTTAGGATAACTTGGCCAAACAGAGTGGTTAAAAAAAAAGCGGTCCTGGAAAAATATTTTCATTAAGATAGATAAGTACATGTTCCTGCACTTTAATGCTGCTGAGTTTAGATAATCTCTGTTTAAACTTGGATGTGTGCTGCTGCAGAGCTGACTTCTCTCCCTCCTTCTCTCCATCAAACAGGAGAAAGGGTACAGGGTTTCCTCCAGGACACGCTGCGGGGCGGCCCTGCTAAAAGGAGTCCAGAGCTGCCTGCTCCCCTCGGGCTGCTGAGTGCTGAGCTAGTTGAGCTGGGGACGGCCTTTGGGCGAATCGTCCACTTCAACCAAACAGTCTTTGGTCCCTTCTATGCGCCCATCCTCAGGAAACTGCTGTTCCAGCCAGTAGGGGCCGAGGCTGGGGAGGACTCGCGCTAAACTGAGGCTGACCCTTTCAGTTTGTAGCTACATTCTTAGGCAATTTAAAGAAACAAAGGCACAGAACCAAAATCCTGTGTTGCCTTATACATATTTACTGCCTTGAAAAAAACAAACACGTGAAAGAAATTTTAGTAATTCTGACCCAGGTGAAAGCTATAATTATTATATTTAGCCATTTTAAGACGCTGAATGTGAATGGTTTTAGAAATCAGAGCACCAAAGAACATATGATGAGTCTGTAAATAATACTTAAGCTTTAATATGTAGCTCTTCATGTTGAAAAATGTTTATGAGTAACTTACCAAAGACAGCATGCACCTTTTCAATATTTTTATTATTTTATTTTTTTTCTTCTTGAATCAAAAATATACTTGTGTTTCTTTCAGTCGTTGACATTGGAGCGGGTATGTGCTACTAAACAAATACCAAAGTGATATATTTTTTCCACCAGCCATTCAAAGACATGAAAACACGTGAGCTTGAAAGAAATTATCGTTCACCTTGTTACATTTTAAGCAATATTTCAGAAAAAAACTGTTACAGGATGCACATACAATGGGATAAGTTAAATCCTAAAGAGGTCTTATTTTAAAATCTGTATTTTTTTTTCTTTTTAAAAAATACTAATACGGTTTTTAGTATTTTTTCCCCCATTACATGTTATTGTAGTGAAGCTTACAAGAGTCCTGTTTTAAATGTATGTACACGCTAACATTTCAAATGTTTGGAGTGACTGTTTGGAGCTATAGCTGACTGCCAACAAGCAAAGGAAGTATTCAGAAACCAATTTGTGCCCTTTTATTTGCTTCTGGCACTATTTTTGTAACCCATTAACAAACTGTATAAAAAAGATGGACATAGCCCTGGGGTCTATAAAGTAAAGCCAGTGCATAAACGGCTTAAACCTAGATTCTTTATAATGGCCAACAGGGGCCAATTCTGGAAGCAGTCAAAGTCAGACAGTGTACAAGTGAGGAAAAACTGCAGTTCCTTTAGTGACCACTTGTGTCTCCATTGACTCTCATGTTTAATCCACAATCTTGGTACAAAAACAGATTTGGTCACAACTATACAGTTTCCCCCCCCCCCCGCTCATACAATAAATAATAATTATAAATGCAGAAGCAGACAGTTGGTGATTTCATTGGTCGCTACCTTAGTGATGCACCCAATTGTGATGATACGATACCTGGTAACTTGTATTTGTTTTTTAATAAAAGACTTATTATACTTTCAAATATACTTTTCATAAATAAAATGTTATGCGTCTAATTTATTCAAATTAGTCTTATTTTAGCTCTGCGAGTGACCACTGCATACTTTACAGTGACACTTCTCAAAGTGCCTCGAGGCTACTACTGCTGTGATTTGGCGCTATATAAATGAAATTCAAATGAACTTCTCCTTTACCTGCTGTCACTGTGAGCACACCTTTTATGCATGCGTGGGGTAAAGCCAATAACAGAAACATGAGATGAAATAATACCACATGGAGTTGACAACATGTTACTGTATGTTACTGTAGTAATGCAATAAAAGCTTTTTAACAAGTGTTACACTGAGCATAACAAGAGTGAGGACCAGCGAGAGTGAGCAAACAAGAGAGAGAAGCTGATAGAGAAAGCATCCGAGTCTGAGCTTTTCAGCAAATAAGTTAACTTATAAGTCATAAATAAACTCCTATTTCTTTGCTTTTAGCTTCCTCCATGTTAGCTTCCATGCTTTTGACTCATGAAACACAGAAATGAAATTAATTCAGTAAAATCTAGATTTAAATTGAACAGAAGGACCCATTGGTAGCAGATCCAAATATCAGATTCATCCACCCCTATCTACATCCACCTTTTATATTCAGTCAATCAATTTCAGTAAAGATAAAGTTTATATTAACTTTTTCCAGTGTTGCTTTGTTGTTTTCTAATACTTCATGCTACAGTCACACTAGGTAAAGCAGTGGTAGGAGACCATGACACGACCAAAATTATTGCATCACGTTGGAATCTTACTGCAGCACAGCCAGTCCACTATCAGTTTGTGGCTGACTGGAGTTAAGTTCGCAGTAACATTGCATTTGTGAAAATACAGCAATTAAATGTGATAAATGAGTGAAAATCTCAAATGCTTCAGGAATTCTCATTAAACAGAAACCGACATTAACTTATATTCAGTGGGGCCCAGCAAGCCCCTCATAGATTTGAAATTCCTCCTCAAATACTCACATAGTTGCTGCAGGACAGCAGGCAGGTTGTACTCATCGGAGTAGACTAACTCAGATTGTTTGCCAGTCTGTCTGCGTTTATAAATTAAATGGCAATTATTTGACTTTCTGGCGATTATCGGTGACCAATGCAGTCGTCTTGCAGTCCAGTGTGCTTGTCCAGAGGTTTAGGGTGCTACACGCTCAACCTCTGGTTGACCACTTGGTCGCCACAACTATAGTCAATCGGTCTCCAGTTGCAAAAACTGAATAAACGAATGGATTCAAACACAAAGCAATGGGCAATTTTTTTTCCTGCTTTACTGTAGTGTGACTGAGCTGCTAGGTTTGAGAGCTATGCAGAATGACCCAACATGCATTTTAAAGAGTCAGCTTTTCATTTTCTATTTAAATTAAATGTATACCCATAGCTGGAATGTAGCTAAAATAAAACATTTCTAAAACAATGCCAGTTTTGAAGAATTGTATTCATACGGTTAGCAAAAACATGCAAAAAAAGGACAGGCAATTCTCATTTAACTTTGACTTTGCTATACGTCCCAACAGAACTGATAAACATATACCTGACAGAAAAATGTTTCTTCATGTTGTGCAAATGCTACGTTTACTGTGTTGAATACTGATGTGTGTGTGTGTGTGTGTGTTTTCACCAGGCACCTGGATGCTTGGCTCTGACTTGAATGCAGTTAGAGAAATGAGAGAAACAGAGACTGGGGGCTAATCGTTTGTTTAGAATAAAAAGTTGCACCACCCACTAATCTCTTTGGCAGGAGAAAGAGTGAAAGTATAATTGTACATTAATTACCATGTTTGTTGTATTTGTCACTTTAAATTTTAAACAGCTGGTGTAATGTTTCTGCTTTTAACTACTCAGCCATATAAAAGAAATCAATGCTGACAACAGACGTGAGAGGGATTCTTTAGTCTTTGTATTATTTAATGTCATTAATATAATATTGCTTTGAAATTTGAAACAGTATCACATTTTCATTGACAAACCATACTCTGTCCAGAAACATGGGCAAAGCATTGTATGCTGGTACAGTTTTTTTCTTTTCCTCTACATTTTGTTACCCTTTAATAATAATTCCCACATTTTCAATAGACCTGAATCAATAGAAATGCTCATTAATGGTCTATATCATTAATAGTCTACAGTGCTCTAAACATTACAGTACCTACATAACAAGATCAGAAAGTCACACGGAGGCCAGGAAATAGACTTGACCTTTCTGAGTGACCTTTCTCAAGACAGGAGTGATACACAGGTCCTGTTTAGCCAGTGATGTGGGACTACCGGTTTACCTTTTAGTCTGTGTTGGGATTCATCTCAGGGGCAGTGGAGGAGCAGGGGATATACGGAGTGAGATCTAAATGTCAGAGTAAGCGCTGGTTTGGCCCTGCACATTGCATAAGGCTTACCTCTCAGTTTCTCTCTAGCTCTTTCACACTGCTCTGCCCGCTATAACTCAACACACACAAACACACTCGCATCGGCTGCTCCCCTTCAACTCACAGCTTGGTATCCGGAAACTTGAACGCTGGGGCGAGCTACACAAGGAAAACACCAATGTTAAAAAGAGCGGTTACATGCACAGCGATATCATGCCACCAAAACTTGCTTTAAATAGCTTGCTGCTCATTTAAGTGTAATGCTTTTATATTGTGCATCCATAATAGAGCAGGTTGTTTCGGTGACACACAGAATGGGAGAACATACGTGACAAAATGTTGGACGACGATGGCAAAACGAAATGAGGGTGAAGCGCTGAGTTGGCGTGTGACGGGGAGAGGGAACGTAAAAAGCGAATGGCAGGTGAGTGAGAGGAGACGAGACACTGCTACGGTACATACAGAGAGACTGCTCAGGCCAAGTGCATCAAAGGGTACGAAAACACAAACACACTGCCAACATGCAATCGTCAGTGGAAGCTAACAGTTAACAGTCAGAAACAGAGTGGCAATGACACAGCCACGGTACCGCACGCAGGCCGGTTACACCGTAATAAAAAAAATAAAATCAGTCAGCCTCCACGAGCTCAATCCTTCACTTCTCCCGCAGCACACAAAAAACAAGGACAGTGGCCAATGATGTAAGAGTCCAAACTCCCATGAGGACAGACAGAAACAAGGCATACAGCACGCACAGCAGGTAGTGCACACAGGGGAGAACCCACAGATATGTGTCGACTTCACGACGACCTTTTTTTTTCAGTCACAGTGCAGGAGGAAAATCTTTTAAGAAAAACAAAAATGGTACCACGCTCTCAGCATTACAAATCCACTCGCATTAACACGACACCAGAGCAACATTTAGATTTGGCTCTTTAAATGTAGTGGAATAAAATCTTTTCACCCCCTCAAAGTAACACACTTTGCATGTACTGTACCTAATTCTAAACTGGAGTGAAACAGCATGGATACCTACTCAAGTAATCATGATAATAAGATGCTATGACGGGATATGTGCATCAGATTGTGCTAGAGGCTCATTAATACACCCAATATTCTTTTTTAAACTTTGTTTACGTTTTGTTTATGGTTTTTTTTTTGCCTCTGGTAGTAATGTTGGGATTCTTTACAATCCCTTCGTAATCATTCCCCCCAACCCACATTTCAGTTATGCCCCGTCTATCAAAAAGTATCACAAAAATCCACGAATGTCAAATTTGCACCATAAGAAAAAAAGAAAACAAAGGGATAGTGCCATGTTTTTAAACACAGTGTTCCTTTTCATTTTTTTTTCTTTGTTTAAACTGACAATAAGAAGAAGCTGTGATTTTCAGGCTCTCAGTGCTACCACGACTGCTGAGAGGCACTGGGCAGTACAAGGCCAGAGCAAAGACTCATCCTGACAAAAACTGTACCATCTCTGCATCAACGTCATCCCAGCTAGTCACAGTCAGTTTAAATACAGCAGGAAATAAGAAGTGTTGCCTTTTTTTCTTTTCTTTTTTTGCCTTTAAAGTCTTTTAGAAGCAGGGTGGAGGCGTGCAGTTGTTGGGTGGTGGTGTTCGGGCAGGTCAGGGGATTTTAGTTGATTATAGATAACCGTAATGAAGTAAGGCTGTTGTCCTTGATATTGTCCTTCTGGGTGTGTATGTGTGTATTTGTGTGAGTTTACGAGGTCTCAGTTTTTGGTCCGTTTTGAGTCCAGACATCAGTGATTAGATTCGTGACCGATTCCTTGTGGTCTTTCTATGAGTATTGTACAAATGCGTAGAAAAAACCCCAACAACAACAAAAAGAAAACACAAGTTGTTTGCTGCATGTTGCTGTTTTGTCTTTCATTGATTAATTGTCCATCTTGCATCCCATGCTATCAAAGCAGCCTCCTCATAGTGCTTCACAGTGGTAGATGCCTGGTAAGACAGGACAGGCTACAGATGGAGAAAGAAAAAAAATTATAACTGTCGAGAGGCAAAACAACCAAACAATTGTGTAAATGAAAAAGATATGTTAATAATAATAATAATAAAAAAAACTAAATATAAGCTACAGACTTGAAATCTATCTGTGTGATACCAAAAAGACACAATAAAGAAAAAGTTAACATTTTGGAGAATATGCTTGCTGGGAATTGTGCAAGGGGACACAACTGTACATTTAATATGGAGCTGACTGGATTTACAGGTAGCAGAGCACCTGCTTAATTAAGCTCAGCTGCCACAAGAACCGATACTGAACTGAAAATGTAACTTTCTTTTCAGTAGTTTTTGCTTTTATTTTATTTTTATTGTATGAATTTATTTAAGCCATTCTTTTTTTGGTTGTGTTTTTCGTTTTGGTTGCTATAACACAGACATTTACCAACTTTTGGGATAAACTAAGTAGAAATGCTTTAATCTGTTTGGCATACAATCTTATAACTAGCTAACCTGCCTTTAGAAAATGAAACACAATCAGCACCACTAAAGCTCCCTAACGATGTGGCTTGTTTAACCCAGCGGTTCCTAATCTGTGGACCCTGATGGGAGGAACTTTGAAATTTGGGATGTGGACTGAGGTTGTTATAGTTAACTTAAACTGAATGGAAAAACAAAAGCTAGGTTGGAAAAAAAAACCCCACATCTCAGTTAGGCCTCAGTCACACAGGTCTAGAGACTGGTCCCCCTGGCAACCACGGGTCGTTAGTGGAAAATATTTAATCCCCGACTAGTTGCGGAGATTTCTGGCTGCTGCTGGGTGAACTTGGTTGCTAAAATGGAGCTGCATCAAAAACTTGCTTGTGATTGCACTGGTTGTCAAGACTGCAAGTTCACCTGTACTTTACATCAAGGAGGGTGACTTGTCTATAAACACTTGCCACAGCTACTTCCCGAGTGGTAGTGAAACCTTAGGAAGTGCACTGCAGACTAAAACTGGAGACTGTTCACCTTCAAAAGTAAAAATTGCTCTTTTCATGCAAGCAACACATTTCAACAGCACCTTTTACTTTGAAAATGAATGGTCACTCTGTGCATAATTAGCAAGTGTTTGCAGATGAGTTGGCATCTTCCATGTGAACAACGGGCACCAGTGGCAATCTGCTGGAAACCAAAACAATCGCAAGGAAAGTTGCACGATGGGCTTTAGCAACCAATTTCACAGTGACCCCAATAACCTCAGCAACCATTACACTTTTTTTCCCCTAGTAACTGGAGGTTGCCAGGGTGGGAGAGGAGGGGTCGCCTGTGTCTAGGCTGGTGTGAAAACTAAAACGTGCAGTATACTTATAATCTAACCTATCTAATAATATTAGACCGTTTCTTTAGCTATTTGTTAAATAGCTGAAATTTGTCAATAATCAGTGGGAGAATGCTTTGGTGAATGTGCTTATTGAGATATGTAGCCTGTGTGATTTCTGTTTCAGCTTTATATTAACTATACACCTGTGAGACTGTCAATATCCTGACGTAATTCTCTGCTAGACATATTTCCCAAAACGTCTAACAGAAAACCATTTTTAAAATAATATAAACTCAACACTTCTGGAAATACTTCAACTTGCCTTTAGCCAGTGTGAAGTCTAGACAGAGCAAGAGAAAAAATGAGCATGCCTGTTTTGTCTGTGGAGAATCAATTTTTAAAAAAAAAAAATGGCTTGAAAGAGGACGAATAATAAAGATGCAACCTCTGGGAGCTATCGGGGATTTGGAGGCAGATGCAAGTTGTCAGGAAGAGGAGGATGAGGAGGAAGAGGCAGTTTGGTTGAGAGAGCGGGGCCACTGTAAAATGAGATCAGTCCAGGATCATCCGTTCCAGAGCTCCGCCATTGGCTGTAGCAGCAACAGGCGACGGAGGCTGCCAGGGGGTGTTGGGGAGGCATGGGGGAGCCGCAGGAGTGTTTGTCATGGCAGGTAGGAGGTTGGTTTGGGTCGCTGGGCAGGGCAAAGGAGGGTGCAGGAGTAGGCAGCCCTGAGGGATGCTATACCATCACAGTGAGAAGGCACGGGGCTCACATGTATATATGTGTGAGTGTGAGAGATAAATAGAGAACCGGATGCAGGGGCAGAGGAAAATACAGGGGGGTGCAGAGGGGCGGCTGTGGGAGTCCGGCCTCAGAATATGGTGGTCTCGTACTTGGTGCTGACAGGGCGCCTGTTGGCGTCCCGCTGGTCCAAGAGCCAGGTGGTGCTGCCCAGGGACTGCATGTCTGGGTCCATCTCCAGGGGGTCGATCTGCCGGGGGAGGGAGGGAGGAGGGACGAGAGGAGGGCGTGAGACGTGTGGCAGTGGAGGCCATTGCGCCACACTGACAAGTCCTCAGCTCACACACGTGCATGTGGATTAGAGGTACAGTCCAGTGATCATGTTATAATCACAGACACTCAGGGCTCAATCCACAACATGGATGATGTCTGACAGAAAAGACCCTCAGCCTGTATAAGCAGCGGCAGTAAAACCAACAATACGACCCTCTGGGAGTTAAAACATACGCTGATTAGTAGTTCAAAAGCACCATGCTCTACACCATTGGCTACTGTCATAGCACAAACGGCAAAGACACATAATTCTACATGCATTACGCTGAGTAATTTACTTAGAAATACATTTGACTTTTAATTAGCTTGAAAAAAATCTCAATGTAGGCGTTTGGCAATCTGAAATTTCCTGCTTATGAAAGACACCTTCAGTTGAAAAAATCTTAAAAAGACACAAGAATTGAGAAACAGTTTAAAACCATCGAGCAGAAACAACTTCAGCCATCATGTTATTGGCGCAATGGGCTAAACCCACACTGGCATAATTTAGCCAACAGTCTTCATATAAAGACGGTAAATCACATCAATGAGTTGCTCGTCCCCGAATGGGTTTAACCACAGAGCTAATTGCATTTTAACACTAAAATGTAAGATGAAGATGAGAGATGGGAAAATAAAAGGATGAGGTTCATGGTTGAAATACTAATAACCACACAACGTGGAGGCGAGGTGCACCGAAGCACTCAGATGCAAGAAAAATAAAGAGGAGAGGGAATTGTGTGTAAGAAGATGCATGATTAAGGATTGAATAGAGGAAAGGAAAGAGAAGGACCTGGACTCCAGGGCTAACAGAGTGCAACGGGAGGAAGGAAGGACGGTGGGTAGTACACGTGTGACAGTGACAGCAGCGGCATTCGAGCAGAGGGGCACCCTGGGAAGCAGGAGGACCAAGAAGACAAGAATAAAGACATGTTAAAAAAAAGAAGAGCGCAGAGGGACAGAGAATTTATATGCACTAAACAGACAGTGTAGAAATCCAGAAGCAGCAGAACGAGCAGTTCATTATCTGTCCTTAAAGCTCAAGAGGGCAAATTTCTCAGCATCTTTGAGTTTTCTTGTCATTGACTGTTTACTTAACCCTGTCCATGAATACTGACGGTCCAATTATAGCTTAGTAGCTCCAGCTAGGCATGGCAGTATTTATTTATACTTGTGTCATTTTTGGCCCTCCATATGGCAGGTCTGTGAAGCGTTGGATTTCTCCACTTGCTCAAGTGGCGTGCATGTGGCTATAGTAAAGATGGAGCAAAGTGTGAGGAATTCATTTACGAGTGTTTTTACTGTTTAAAGAAATCAGCAGCATGCCCAGAAGACTAGTTTAGTACCTACAAACCTACAATAACTGTGCATGCATCTGATTTGAGAAATTAACTGTCCAGGGTAACAGTATTTCTATAAATTGTTCAAATTCACATATCAATATTTGTCAGTGATCCCGGTGAAGCAATTATATACTGGAAATAGCTATGAAGGTTGCATCAGTGTTGTTCCTATATTCCAATTTAAAAAGCAAACAAACACACCAAAGATTACAAACTTATTCCCAAAGCCAAGAAACTCAAGAACATACATCATTATTAAGAAATCCACTTTGCACTGTTCCTTTCCTGAGTGCATCCTGGGGTCTGTCAAAGGTTAACATTACTGGCTAGGCCCTTTTCTTTATTGAATATGGGCACATTTACACTCCAGCTGAAGTTACTCAAGTAAGCAACATTTGATCATCACGCTAATTAACAGTGGAAGCTTTGTAAAGCATTTTTAGAAATATTCTATCCACAGCACAGATAAAATACTAGGGTTAGCTAGCTTTAGACACGACAAAAAATATTCGTGCATAGATGATGAGCTGGCGAAGTTTGTGAAATTGAGCCAGAGGTGTGCAGCTTTTGAATCTGTCTTAGCGCACTGGTTTAACAGTTGTTTTCACTTATGTTTACCATTTTCTGCTTCATTTCAAAGCTCTGACACTAAATGGGCAAACACTCAAATATTTTGGTTTCCTAATATGTCATGTCATTGAGTACTATTTAACCCAATAACAGTAATGTATACATGTCATCTAATGACATATGTTTTAGTCACTGCATTATTTCTGATAACTATGTATTTTAATGATAATAGTAGGGTGGGGCTTTTCCTGGCGTAAGAAATACACCGACCAATCGCAACTGGATTTCTTTAAGGGAAACAGCCATTAACGAATCTGGCCGATGGGCATACACTGGACTTTTTTTTTTTTCATTTTGAGATGCATACTTAAGATTCCTTTACAATATTTTTGTTTTAAAACCAGAGGGGGAAAAAACCTGACAGTAACAGTTGATAAATATTTTTTGTTTTAGGAAATATTGTCTTTATGAAAACTACAGAGGACAGGGCTTAGCAAACAGTCAATCTCTTCTTAGGTAAAATACATAAGAAACCTTCATGATTGTCACAGTTTTTGTTTCACTTCACTTGGTAGCAGCGAAGTGTATTAAAACAAATCGCAGCTGACAGAAATCAGCCCCCCCCCCCCCCCCACTCTTCTCATCTAAAACTTAAACAACCAGCAGGCTCATTATGCAGCTCTGTGATCACTCCATATATTATCCTTGCAGGCAGGTAGTAAAACAATGTGATTTGTGTCTCTGAATAAGCAAGTGGTCCAGCAGTGTGTGTGTGTGCATGCTCCTAGTGGCGGCTGTGCAGCGCTCTCAGGTGACAGTGATCACTGAGTGCTTATTATATGCAGCCTGAAAGGTCAATACATCAATGCTCAGGGTATACCTGAACATTTATGCAGCACACTCAATCAGAAGTGAGGAAGCAGCGGGTGGTTCTGACCAACGAGGCTGTGCACAAGCTTAGAAAAATCCCAGAGGAAATCACACACCACCTCCCACCCCCCTGTTAGCAACAAATAAAAGGAATCATTCATCACGCTTCACATATGCACAAAAAGAAAGTCTCCTCTGATTGGAGTGACTCACAGAGCAAAGTAATGACTCATCACTTTCTACCACACGCACAGCAAATCCTCCTTTGTAGGTGGCCCATTAGGGGTTCAGCAGTGGAGAAAAAGTGGGTCACAGGGTCTGTCTACCTATTTTGAAGTATGTTCCTTCACACCCGCTTTCCTTTTAACGTGTAGAGCAACCTCACCACTCAAATGCACTCAGAGATGCACACATTCGCCACGATTTTCTTAAGGTTTTATAGGCTGGTACTCACTGCTGATCTTCGCATGCTGCTCCAGGACTGAGATACAGGACGGCTGGTTTTGGTGTCTATGACCTCAGAGCCCAGAGATGAAGGAGGCATGTAGTGTCTCGCCCTGGACTGAATCGCCATCTGATAAGCCACCTCAAATGCCTGTCCCAGCGTTAGGATGATCTCGTAGGTCTGTGTCTGTGTGAGTGGAAAATAAAGATTCATTGTACTGAAATATGTGACGAAAAGCAAAGCAGGCATAAACAACTTTTTAACAGCTGACTTTAAATGACCGCACACAACAAAGACAAAATCTTTATGCACTTTGCTTGTGTGCTCAGTAAACATTTAATTTCCATAAAAAAACACAACTAAGCACCTTGTATTAGTTACGCTACAAAGCTTGGACTAAAAAAGTCTTCTGAACGTGTTACAGTATTTGTTTTGAGTTAACCACTATTCAATTTGGTTTGCAAACACTTGTTTTCAGCAAATTCGCAGCACACAAAAGCGCTGCTCTTCACATTTTTAGGATAATTACTTTGTATAATTATCCACAGGCTCTTGTTTAAATATGATGCATTTACAGAGAAAAGCTAAAGCAGCTTTTAATCTGACATTCTGTGCATGGAGGAACTGTGTGAAGTATAAATAATCGAGGCTCAGCAGTGGTTTTTTTGGTCCTGTAAAGATCTTTTTCAATGCAGTTCATTAAAAAAACAAAAACAAACCCACAAACAAAAAATGTTTCCCTGCAGTTAAAGTGCCCCCACAGTGGTCGAGCTGCCAAAAATGAAACCTCACTGCTGACCTTTTAACAGACCTTTCGACTCAAATGACAACATAATTTGTGCTTGTGCATGGAAATGCCATGCATAGCAGGAGTGGGTCTTTAATCAAGCTATTTGATGAGCCAATCAAGAAAATAATCCATAGGATGCTCAAGGCAGGTTTAACTGCAGGATATATGACGTCCTACAATGGGACATTTTGGTTTTCTTTCTTTATTTACCCAAAAATTTGCAAAATGTTCCACAATGATATGAAAATATGGGGCTGTCTATAGTGGATTCTTTTAATATATTAGCATAATTACAGTGTATTATGCTTATAGTACTAATTCTATTAAATCAATCACAGGGCTGATGTTACTCACCACTTCCACAGTGCTGAAGACATGACAGAAGTGGTGGCCGCTCTTCAGATCCTTGGTAATGTATGCAAATGTGCAGAGGTCATCTGGGTCTTGCGCGGCACATGAGATGTTCCTGATCTCATGTTCTGCTACTATAGTCTAATGAAGACAGGAATGAAGTGAGCGCTAAATGGGAATCAACCACTAATGGACAGTGAGAAAGTCGACAGCAGTGTTTGCATTGGACAGGTCAATAATCAATAATTCCCATTACCTTTGTGGCTGCATCGATGAACTTAACACCTCTATAGGTAATGGACAGTATGACAACTGGACCCTTTTTGGAGTCCTTGGATTTCTGGAATAGATACAAAAAGAATAAGTGAGAAGAAAGAAAAAAAATCACTGCCTGTTTTGGGGAGTTTATTAATTGTTATGACGGATAAAAACACTTTTCAGTTATTGTTATTACAATTTAGGCTTTGTCTTGTTTCATACTTCTTTTTTCTCTCTTCTTTCCCCTCATGTTTTCACCAGTCGCAGCAGACGACTGCCTCCCAACCCCCGAACATCGGCTCTTTTGAACCAATATGCCTGATCATCTCCTTTATAATAACCTGAACACAGATCATGAACCAACAGTATTGCTGCTCACATGAAAGCAAGTTAAAGGTTTAGTTTCAGCTGTTTGCTGCCAGATACATCTAGTTGTTACTTTATTGTATTTTAGTGGACTTAAAAAATTATTTATTATTGGATTGATGGCATGAACTAGCATGGTGTTTGCCCACAATGTAAATTAAAGTAGTAAAAAAAAAAAAACAACCGGCAAGAACCTGTAAGAAAAAAAAAGGCTTTTTAAACCTTATTTTGGGAAAATACCACCAATTTTTTCAAATTAAAATAAAAAGTATGTTTAACTGGTTATTCTATACATAAAGTTATAGCTCTCTCCCCAACTACGTGTAAGCGTTGGGTGTTACCACGATGGCTTTTACATTTGCTCTTAGAAGGACATTGATAAATACTTACCCTAATTTTTGCACAGGCATCTTGTGTGGACTCAATCCCTCGTAGATCCCTGATTATCAATGATCCTAGATACTAGAGGAAAGAGTCAAAACACAATTTAAAAAATGATTTAAAAGTTGGTGCTGGCAAACGAAGTCAACTACAGACACAGACGGGCCATCGCAAGCACAGGATGTATTTGAATAAAAGTGTTCTACACTATTTCTTGTTTAATAGTGTTTAATAGTCCATCTATAACATATTTACAGCATATTCTGGCATCTATGCTGAAGACAGTAAAAGTGACTTACTGTTGCCTCGTACCCGCAGGAGTCCAGAATGAGTTTCTCAGGCTGGTGATGCCAGGCGGAGACCGTGGCATAGGTAGCAGAGTGGCTCGGCGGCCGGAGGTTTAGACGAGACTCTTTATGCCGGTCGCTGTGTCTGTCCTGCAGATGCAAATGAACAGGCTGCTAAATGCAATAAAGAGAACAGACTGATCCAAGAACAAAATATTCTCTGCCTTGTGTTCAATTTTTGTAGATATTAAAGGGGATAAAATGCTATTTTTTCAATGTTTTGCAGGATCTTTGTAACCACACTCATTTCAAATACTAATTTGTGCATCCATCAAGTTGGCAAGGTAAAGGGTTTCTGACCACTGAACATTAGTGTGAAGGCAGATGTCTGGTCAGCAGTTTAATGCAAGTCTTTTATGCTAGGAAACTAATAAATATTATGCATGCTGGGCCTTAAGGTCAGTGTAGGCTGTGCTCAGTGCTTTCATGAATCACTGTCAGAGTAAAATATACTTATGATGATCATTACACACTAAGATTTTATGGAAATTGTAAGTATTGATTTTTATACAGCAGTGGTACCATATTCCCTTTCCTTATTTGTGGACGCTCCCGTGTGCTTCCAGATTGGCCTCAGTGAGTCAGAAAGCAGCTATGCCAGCTTCACTGTTTGTGTTGTAGTTTGACCTTTAACAAATGCTAAGATTTGATCACTGTGTTATTCTTGGTTTCTTCTCTTAAAGAAGAAACAATAGTCTACAAAGATTTAAAAAAAAAAAAATGCTCAATGGCACTTCATGTCTTTTTTGTTTTTTCTTCCTTAGACTACTTCATCACAATGATCATCAATTTATTTTTTTTATATTTTACACATATTTTCTATATTCTATTTATCAGTTTGGGGACTTAATGGAAGTTAAGATTAGCTTAATTAGGTAAAATTACACATATTTATATATGAGAAATAAACTCAAGTTTTTGTTCATTAAGAATCAGCAGTGCTTCAAATGTTTATTTGGACAGGGAGAAAATATCAGACAGATGATTAAATATGACATTGAGTTTTCCAACTATATTGATTCAAAATGTCAGCTCCAAAATGTGGGTTTCCAAAACTTTCCATCGACTGTATTTTCTACGTACATCTGAGCACATCCTTAAGATTAGAGCCACAAGGTGGTATGAGCTGATCAGGATATCTCCAGGACATCTCCTAGTTGAGGTTTATCAGGTATGTCTAATCAAGAGGAGAGCCTCAGGCAGACCCAGGACATACTGGAGAGTTTATATATCTCCAAGATTAAGGACTAAGCAAGAGCTGTAGGAGGTGGCTGAGTGGAAGGATGTCTGAACATCTCTGCTTAGACCTGGCTACGCAGCAAAAATACAATGTAAAAACCCAACAACCTTGAATGCACCTCTGCTTTTTTCACTGGTTCTAGTTACATTTTGCTTTAATCAATCACTCTGCACATCCACCCTTCAATGCAAAACTTCGTTTTACATCCGGACCAGCACAACACATTTAACTTTCGGCAGCATTTATTTATTTGTTTCTTTTATTTATTTAAAAAAGAAAGAAGAGGTCAGAGTGATGTGATTATTTAAAACGAAATACCAATACCCCCAAAGTTATTTCCACTTGATAACAAGCAGGAAACAATATGAGCCTCAGTACCAAGAAAAACCCAAATGTTAGACACTGGATAAGACAAATGATGTCAAACCTATGGCTAGGAAGACTAAATATACTGTAAATATTATGTATGTTAGATTGAAGGTCAAACAAGGGTTTGTAGAAAAGGCTTGCAATTAATCTGACTGACTTATTGTCAATGGTTTTCTGTGTGCGGAAACAGAGAACAGGCTGTTTTCTTTGCATCTTTGTCATTTCTTTGTGCCTGATTGTGCTCCTGCATCTGCTGAAAGCTACAGACATTGTTGGAGAAAAGCATTTAGGTAAAAGAAGGTGGCACTCACTACAGAACGTGGCCTCTCGCTATAAGAACGCAGAGATACACTACAGTCTTGGTCGACTCCTCTTCGCCTGCGATCTGACTCGGTCAGGGGAAGGAGCATGTCCATGGAGCGACTGGTGTAGGGGTCCAGCTGACTCAGGGGAGATGTGGTCTGGGATAGGAGGTCATGGAACTGCCATACGCATCCACACACACACACACACACACACACACACACACACACACACACAGATTAATGATTTGAAAGCACTGTCTACACAGGCTGGTTTTCCTGATCTACATCCAAGCCTAATCCTCGACAAAAAGAGCCTCTTCCATGGAGATTCTCAATTCTTTTTAGCCCAGTTTAATCTGCCTGGGAAATCAGCCCTCAGTATTTAACTGTTGTGAACATAATGATATTGAAGAATCTCATTCCAAAATTAGATTTCCGCTGCAGAAAGAAAAAGGATCCATTTTCTCACAAAATGATGTCGGTATAGAAAAACAGCTCAACCGTGCCATGCTGCTTCACACTTCAGCTCTGTCTGGATTGTTGTAGAGTAAGAAAAAAATAAACTAAAATATAACAGCACACAGGAACGAGGCTAAACATGCTGAGGGAAAAAAAAAAATCTCATAACAGACAAGAGTGACACAATATGTGTGTTATATCAAGGGTATGAGCAGAGCTATCCTTCTTACTAAGCACATTAAGCATATCTGATCTATTAATCGAATAAGTGTCGACAGTGGTTAAATAGCAGCACTAACACTGCTGCAGTCTGGCTGGTGCTTTAAATAAAAACATCTTCCATCTTTTAGAGCTGACCGTATTTTTGTGAATTCTAGAGAAAATGTGGGAAAATATGAAATGCATTACCATAATTGGAGACAGACGACGGGACTTAGATGGAGCCTCTTCATAGGGTCTCTCTGCTAGAGAGGCAATGATCCTCTTCCTGTGACCCAGAGGACCAACCTTAATAACCTAGAGAGGACAACATCAGGGCATAGCATGAGACTTTCCTGTACTCTTAGATCCATATCTTACATACAGGAGTTTATCTAGACTAAACTAATATAGATACTTTATATTCAAAATAAACTGACACAGAGTTGGTGGCAAGCACCCCTCACTGGCAGGCATCCACAGGCAAACAGAAATGACTCTCGTCAATAATTCAACCTCAATCTGTTTTGCCGTAAGCTTGAAGTACCGCACTGTCTCCTTCTCGGGACGCTCTATAATTTACGACCCATTTTTGGACATAGTGCTTAAAAAACACACAAGACTTTACTGATTTATGTAGGATAACATGTGACATATGAAAAGGATAAAGCATAACAGTGTCACTATGTAAATACACACTGTGTTTGCCATTCACAGTATAAAAACACTGCTCGTCTATCCACAGCATCTGTCTCACTAAACATTTTTTTTTTTTACAAAGGCCACTGCAGCTAGTGAGACTCAAATCATCACAAAAGGAACAATAAGCTAATTTTATATAGTCAAAACCCATCACCCCAAAACTGACAATTTGCATAATCGGCTATTAACATTCATGCTCATCCAGAAAAGGTGGATGTTGAGTGATTAATGTTACATTTGCAATTATGTCACGGGTACAAAATATTCCATAACAGGCTCATATGATTCTTTGTCTAAAGCTTCAATTATTTATTCAGTGGGAGTCAGAGGCAGAAGAGGCAACTGGTTTGTGTGCTGGATTTCTGGTGCTGTTTTCATCAAAACCATGCGCAGAATCCCAGTGAGGCCAGTGTGCACGAGGCCTGTGAAATGAGACGGAATTTAAATAGTAATAAAGAACACCTTGGGATTATACAGGGAACCAGCTCATAGATCATCTCAGTGCTCGATGCTGTTTGCAGTGAGACGCTGAGGAGGATGTCGGAGATGTGATGGGCAAAGTGAGTTCAGATGCTGAGAGGCAGTTCTGCTACTCTGCACACTGAAAGTAATGTGCCCTGCACTCACACCCCCATCCTTCTGCATCGCAGTCTGCTGGACACCATCCCTCACACACTGCATGGACAGTATGCTTGGCTGCTGCTCGACTGTTGCTGCTGCTGCTGCTGCTGTGACTGCAGCTGTTGCTGGTTTCTGCTAATTTACCGCCACAGTTTTTTGTGTTTTTCATGATTATGCACACAAACAAACTTAGTGAGAAGTGCAAAAAAACAAAACAAAAAGAAAAATGATGACTCAGTATCAGCTTTGTTGCGGTGCTGTCTTTGCGTATGAGCCATATTGGATCATCTCATTGCTGGTATTTTTTTATGAGTCACAACAAGAAAAATAAATAATATTTTCAACACAATCTGTTATAAATTAGAAAACACGGAAACATTATCACCACATTAAAAACTGACAGACAGATTTCGATTCCATATACATCAGTGATCCAGTCAGACCCTCTCTCAGAGTAAGAAATGTTGATCACATTATTGCAGTGAACAAAGGAAATGCACAATACTGTTGATTGATTGACAACCATTTGGTCAAATGAGATGGCTGCATTCAGACAGCTGCACAACACAAAAAATTGTATTGGCATATAGATGGAATTTATGTATTGCTTTATATAACGCACATTCCTGTCTCATTACATTCTGTCTGACAAACTTGCTTGTATTGACTCTCACAACCCTTGTGTCTCTGCTGCTCCGATGTCAGCAACATAACCCTATGACACGTTTGGATTATCCTATTTTCACATATGAAGTTTGGACAGTTTTAGGAAAATCAAGTTGGGATATTTTCCAGTTGTCATCTCTCACATGCAGCATACATAAGGAAACAGCCCACTTCAGACATGTTCTAGTTTGGACATTTACTATATATATATATATATATATATATATATATATATATATATATATATATATATATATATAGACACATGTATATATATATATATATATATATATATATCCACTATGATATAGGCAAGAGATCACCACTCTCTCATGGTAAATTACCTTTTTATGAGTTTCTTGCTCTTCACATGAGCAAGATGATATCATAACACTGAATTTACACAAGCTTCTCCTTCTTATAAAGTGCAAAAAGGAGATAATGCTGCAGACATTGCACAGCTTTCATATTAAAGCAATTGATCAACAATAAACTTCCACTTTGCAAGATCTCTAACATCAGTTATAAAAAGTGAAATTTGTACAATGTGAATAAACCAGGTATCAAGTGGCAAATGGAAAAACATCAAAAGGATGCCTATAAAGTTGTTGCAGCTCAATACTGCTTAAGCGCTTTGATTTGTGACTCCAGCAGACAAGGCGATGGCTATTTGCAAATCGTCATCACAGGCAGATTAATCCATTTGGATAATTTACATGTAGCCAATATTATCAATATTTCATAATAAATTATTTTTTAAAAAGAGCGCCGTCTTGAAAAATCTCTAACTAATGATCATGTGTTTTTCTACTTCCATATTCTAGTAATAGTGTTTCAAACCTGTCAGAAAAACACTGTTCTCCACGTACACACAATCTGAGAAATCAATCCTCCTACACATGTTGCACCCATGTTTCTAGGCAAAATTAATAAGACCGCCTCTCTAATTACTAATTATCATAAAATGTTACACTATTTCCATACGGATAAAACCAAATTACATTTCTCCATGTCATCAGTCACAACTTTGTCTCTTAATTTACACACATCTGTTAATTATCCACTAATTACTGTGTGGTGATTTTGTCTCTGCTGTAGTTTTATGCAAATGCTTCCATCACGAAGCATTTCTGATATTTCGGCTCAGCATTTTAAAGTGTTGCTTAACTTCGTTGGGAGCCTCATATTAAGATGGCCTTGTTATTAAGGCTATGAGAACTGGCCCACAGCATCACAGATCCAAAAGCTGATGACTTCATCCATCCACAGAGTTAATCAGTGCTGGACTGTAAACCCTCAAAAGTTCATAGAGCTTAATACAAAAGCAACTAATTATAAACTAAGGCAAATTTAAATCAAATGTTTTCTGAATTATTTTCCAAGTACATGCTATATATCTGTACTTTAATTTTAATAACTGTACACTACTGCTTTGGTAACTATTGTCCATGATGTAAATATATAAAAATGTTTGTGTGTTTCTGTTCTATGTCCTGTGTCCTGTTCTGTTTGTATATGTGGTTTTTTTGCTGCTGTTCCAACCAAATTTCCCCCTTTGGGACAACTAAAGGATTATTAAATTGTATTCTATATCCATTTTTGAATGTCACATTTAAATACAATCAATATTCATTACTCTTGTCTTGTATAAAAGGTATGGTGAGTGATTATGTGATTATTTATTATTAAAAAATGTCTCAATTCATTTTAGTTTTCATTCATTTAGTCTTAGTTATGACGGACATGTATAATTTGAGAATATGATTGTAATATAATATATTATCATACAAACTTACCTTTTTCAGTTTCTTTAGACTGCTCTCTCTAATGTACCGAATGAATCCAGAAACACTCACACAGACCTCTCAGTCTCAAAAAAACTTCATGCTAGCTGTGTTAAAAACAATTGCCAGAATGACTAGTGACAAATGAAAACAAACTACATTTCCTCTACCGTTTTGAAATTAGTTTTGTAGCTATAAAATATAGTTTCTGTGTCCCTGAGTGCATGTTTTCCTGGTGCAGAGTGTTTTTTCTTGCATCTATGGTTTTACCTGACATTAGAAAACACGCTAGGTTAATCCTGCTTATGTCAGCCCACGACACTCTTATGAAAGATATAATCAGAATCTGAAGAATTTAACTTCCTGGTTAAAGAATAGCTTTATATAATACAATGACCTGTATGATTGCATGCTCTTGATGAACATCAGCAAGACAGCTTAAAAAGATTAACTTTAAAGATTTTCTTCCTTAACAATGAGCAGAGCATGCTCACTCCTTGCGGTGCCACAGTGTTAGTCACTAGCTCACCTACCCACCTCAGCCATGACAGCTTTGTTATTCAAACATGAAGGTAAATAAAACACGACCCAAGCAACTGAACTGTAAACATAATGGTACAAATATAGAAGTACTAAGGAGAGTAGCGCATACAATATTAATGGGTGAGCACTGACTATTGTAGACACAGTTAAATACTTAATACTTACTTAATTATATTTTTAGGTAACATTTATTTTATCGAAAAAAAAAATGTTTTCGGACTCAGAAAGGGAAAAACGTCATAAAACATTGCAAAATGTTAGTAGAAAAAAACAAGTAAAAGTAATTTTTTTGCTACTTTATGCATTTAATTACTCGTAGTGCATGCATTTATAATTTGAGTAATCAGTGGCCTCTTACATTGATGATCTCCAGTTCCCACAGGTTCTTAACACACTCCAGTGTGCGGTAGCCGCTGGCAAGAAAGTTGGGCAGATATTCATGCAGACCAAGGCCATCCAACCAAGTGGCAAGAGATGTGCTGCCATCACACCCCAGTGCTTTTACCTACGGAGACAGATGCATCTAAGTAAGCAAGAACTGTGACTTTATGGAAGGACAATTTGGGTTTTCTACCCAACTAAAGCTGACTGCTGCAGCGGTCATGCTAGGCAAGTAGCTTAAAAAACAGCAATGTCAGTTCAGCTCTTGACTGAAACATCAACGATTGCCGGATGGAGTGCTGTGAAATCATCATTTATAGTCTCCGGGGAAGGTTACTCCTGACTTTGCTGATCCCTACATATTCCATCTAAACTTTTCTCATCTCCAGAACAAAAATGCAATTTGTACAACACTGCAAAGCTTATGATCTTAGGTGACAGCTGCTTCCACTTCTTTAGGTACACTTGTTCAAGTGGTGGTCTAAAGGAACTAGTACATGCCCATGCTATAGCATTGTTTGACCTGTTCATGCTGGTGGCCATGAAATGAAAATGATATGATGCTTTGCTGTAGGCACGTAAATAGGTAAGTTTAGCTAACTGCTATGTGGTTGCTAGGCAACATACCATAGATCATGTATAATTCAGTTTTTGTGGATATAAATGAGATGCTACTATGATGACAAAAAAAGATACAATACTTTTAGATGGTGTTATAATTGTTAAACACTAAAAACAAGTCATTTTAGCCTGTTGCTTAGTACAGTAATTGCTAGGGAATCTGATGACATCAGAAACCTGATATACATAATAACCTTCAGGAGCCTATGATGTACCTGCGTGCCAAGTTTGGTTGCTCAACTCCTGACTGTGTAGGAGGAGTTAGCAGCCAAAAAAACAAACACACAGACAGAGATTTGTACAGTAAATCAGTGGCACGTAGACATAGTCAAGATCTGCTCAAACCAAGTTCAAACCAAGAACATGGAAAAGAGTTGCTTTTAATAAAGCAGTTTGGATAATATTGTTCCATTTTTAAAATAACTTCATCAGCTTCCTTCATAGTCCACCTCAAAGTAAATATGCAAGAAATGGACCTTGGAGAAATGGAGGTGTCGCCGTATGCAGAATGTAGAAGGCAAGATCAGAATGATTCACTATTGTACTCACGATAGTAAGAACAAAATTGGCCAGTGCAACTGTTACATGAATTTAACAGTAATTTTGCATGCACAGTTGGTTTTTGTTCAGTTTAACAACATTTCTACAAAACATCTTAGTGAAAGAGGCCAAATGAGTTCATTAAACTGTAATGACTTCCATATTAACCAGAGTTCAATCTCACAGAAAACATCTGTGAACTAAAACAGGACTTGCATCACAAAGGTGCTGGACCAACTGCATAATGCTATCATTTTAATGTTTTTAACAGAGTCACCGGTTAATTTGTGGATTGATGTTAAAATGATACTAGCGTAGTATAAAACATAATTCCCTCAAGCATACCTTATATTTATTTTTTTTATTGTAAATGAGGAGAAAAATTGTCTTTTAAAAATGGATAGTTGTCTAAAAAAAAAGTAATAACTAGTGTTTTATGACTCGTTTTTTCATTTGCAGTGATATCAAACAGATATCAGAGTATAACAAACACAAATAAAGCCACTCATCCATCCATTCATTCATTCAACTATCCTCTTAATCAGTTGTCCAGTTGAGGGTCACTGAACTGGAGCCCATCCCAGCTATCATAGAGTGAAAAGTGTGTATTCCTGAATGAAAGATAATAGGTTTTAAATGAACCCACTCTGTCATTTTGTTTGCTTAGACAGCTTTGTTGCTTCAGGCTTAACCCACTCTATGGACAGCATGAATACTCCTTCAACACTATAACACATATCAGGGTGCCATTTATCTATTTTTAGCTTATTTGCTATTGTTAGTGAAGTACTTGTCCTTATTGGGGGTTTTTTGTTATTTGAGATCCTGTCAGTTGCTGGTCTCCTTAGTGCTGAAGATAATCTACGATATTAAGCACCTTGGGCAAGTTGCGTGCCGCGTGGAGGATTTTCTTTCGATGTCCTGGATCAGTGATCCCGATGTCTCTGAGATCCTGGTCCTCCATCACGTTACTTCCCTGCATGTGCACAAACACAGGAGAGACACACAAATAAACACATTCACACACAGGCACACCCAAAGGCGTAGTCATCAGACATACGTGCATGCAAACAATCACATACACACAAGCACATAGACAGTACGCAGAATGAAAATGGATATACAGAACAACAGTATGCAAGAAAAATCATTTATAATACCGTGTACATATTTGCACAGAAATAAACAATCCACTCAAAAGTATCATGACTTGCTCCACAGCCTTACTGCAAGGGTAAAACTGTGACTGAAAAAATACACACTTGCTCTTAACACACACTGCATGCGCAAACACGCAGAATATGCACATCTCTGACACAAGCAGTAACAGCAGAGTGGGAGGACAATGAAGTCAAATAAATTGTGCGTGCCAAGAGTAATCAATCTGATCTGGTGCGACTCAGCAGGAACAAAGCCTTCAGAATTGCTGCTGCGTCTCCAGGATCCCTGTGCTGCTGTGCTTCATCCAGGGACACCAAACAGTCCAAGAGGAAGTATTCCACAACAATTTGAGACTATTTGTTAATTTAGGGTGTGGAAACAATGAACAATAGATTTTTTTTCTCACATCCTGAAAGCTTCAAAAAGAAAATTCTTCCCTTATTCAAATCACAGCCCCACTTGCTTCATCATCTTCTACTGGTTTATAGGTAGGAATGTAAATACAAGGAGAACCATGAAAATGAAGAGCTAAGCGTTTTTCCCTGAGGACTGCTGCAGATTGATTCTCTCTGGCCAAGAATGTTAAAATGTTCTGTAGTCTTTACTCAATCTGCTCTCTCTGGATTGGTTTCAGAGCACAATGCAGCAGTATTCACAGGCCTCTATCAGGGTGCAGTTGGGAGATTACTCACTGATCGCAAGAATAAAAGGTCAAAATGAAGCGGGCCTGATGTAAGGGAGGTCCAAAAATAGATCCTCCACTTTTATTAACACGGTTGGAAGTTTGATGATGCCTCGGGAGACTTTGCAAACTTGTTATTTCATGCCGCATTTGAAACATGTGACAGGAATGTATGGTTCAGTTCTTACATAGCTTATAAGCTATGGTAGTGTGATTTGATCTGATATGCCTTGCAGATGTAGCCATGGTAGAAGTCCTTCATCTCACTAAATGCACTCAGTTAAGGCAACAGTGAATTAGAACTGCTCCATTCCCCTTCTCCACAGAGGAATAGTTTGGAAGCATAAAGATTTTCCATTTTTAAAGCAGACGTAACAGGGAAATGATAAAGAATAAAGAGTTTACGGATCAGAATGTTGATGTTCAGCTCCATATTACGATATTCGAAAATGGGGGGGAATGTAGGGTCTGATGCAATATTAATGCAGAAGAGATGCAATACAAGTGGATGATGATGGACAGACTTCTAAGATGTTCTCCTCCACTAGATTGTTTATCTAAAAAAAATAAATAATAATTTGTGTATTTTTTCACTCAAATGAAATGTGTGGCCATGAAGGCCAAGAGAGTGAAAGCTACGGGTGCCCCACTTTTGGTAGTGCAAAAATGATTATCATCGTGTAAAAATTATGAGAATGGGCACACAGCTGTTCATAATTTATGATCCCTCAAAAGCTGCATCTCAGAGCAATCATCACATGCAGAGAGCCTTGCCGACTCATGTGAGCGGCTGCTCTTGTGCGCTGACGGGCGGACACAAGGAAACTTTCCAAGCAGGACTATACAGTGTATCTTAAGCTGTGACAGCAGTGGGTTGTGGGCACAGAAAGGCTTGCGTGCTGAGACTCCTGTCACTGCAGAATTAAACTGGGAAGAGCTTTCAATCCCCTCTGGGCTCACAAACGATATAGTGTTTAAAGTAAAATCTGCTCTGGGTTTACCCTGTTTTTATGTCAGCTGATTTCCAGAAATGGTTAAATATTACTACATGTTCCTCTGGGCTCCATTGCATTGTTCCTAAATACAGTGTTAATACATAAATGAAATCAAACATGACAGGGAATTAAAAAGGAGCCACAGTACTGCCCCCTACTGATCACTTTACTCAAATTTGCAATGAATCCCACAAATGAGTTCTGATATTTAAGTTCAGTTAGATTGATGACATCTGAAGCAAGCCTAGCACAATCTAAAAGGTCAATATTAAACATTCACAGTGCCTGCCTACTCTGACCTTTCTTCTTGTTTGCAACCTCCACATCCTTGTAAATATCCATGGCTAATTTGCCTTGTGAAGCTAATGATTTATTTCCTTGATGCATCAAGTCTAGCAGACACATTAACTGTGGCATGAACATGAACATCAGAAAGGCTAATGAACCAAGTCCACATCACACTGTATCCTGGAAATCTTGATCTACATGGATTCATTCAATCCCAATCAGACGGTAAAGCTTGCTTTTTGTTCTCTAAGTCTACTATATCTACTAAATGATAAATGTTACATTTTGGGCAAAATAACAAAATACAGGCAGAGATATTGCTTAGTCAATTGAGGATGACAGTTATTCTACCTGGTTGTTGCATCTGACTTTTGTTGGCTTATCTTGCCTATGTAACAAATCAATAAGAAGAACAGATTTCTCCATCAACTAAATGAAGTACCTGCTCCCACATGGTCATTTACAAGAGGACTAAAAACATATAATGATTAGATTTAATCAGTCAAGGTTAGAAATCATCCTTTTTTAGTGCCAAAGGACTCATCCCCTCAAATCTTATGCACTGAAGTCTGAATTTAATACAGATGACCTGAGTTTTGTCTAGTACAGTACAACTGGCTGAATCCATAATGTGTTTTTTGCTGGACATTTTCTGACTGAAAAAAGTCAACTTGCCCTTTTGTTCCTAGTGTTAATTACATAACAGCATTTCCAAATCTCTCAGTGTGTAAATTACTTCCAACTTAATTAACTCCAGTGTATTATTCTGGAGATAACTGATTTATTAGTGTAGCTGTAATCACCTACCAAATACTGTATTCCTTTATTTTTACAACCATGCTCTTATAGTTGTGTTATCGCCTCATAAACAAATATAAAGCTGAGTCCATCTGAATGGTCACATTCTTATAAATTTCCACTATACTGCAATCTCATTTCTACCCAAAATGGGAAAAGAAATCCAGAAAAGACAGTAGCACTTATAAACTATACTGATTTGTCAATATAACCACTCTTTTTTTCTGACCTCACTGGTCTCACTTGACTGAATTCCACTGTGACATCAGACGCACTGTATCATATAACCCATGGTACTATTGCAACTCTGTGGCCTGAGAAATGTTACCCCCAGGCCTACTTATTTACAGCATATAGCCATGTTTTCAGAGAAACATGACTATCAGATGGAAAGTGGTGTTTTTGGCTATCCCTGTCAAATGCAATATCAGGTTTCCTCACAATGTTCTTTACGGGAAACATGATAAAGCTTTCAGACAGATTGTGGACATCACTTTAGTATGAATATATTAATATTAGATTCTTACTGTTGCATTAAAAAACATGCTAAATTGTATATAATTCTTCAATAACTTTTTATGTTTTAGGAAAACTTATCTCTGGCATCATTTTTTAGCCACCACAGTGGAAAAAACTGTGATTTTGATCATTTTTTACAGTATAAATAAAAAATTTGAAAATAGAAAAATAGATGCATGCAAACATATGTAATGCAATTGCAGCATATCATTGTAAAAAAAAATACAGCACAACAGCATGCTGCTGCAGTGTAATCATCTCTTGTACAGTAAATGCAAGATAGTCCCACCATATGGATAGTACAGAGAATAATCTGTGGAGGATTTAATAAGATTTAGCAATCAACCATGCAAAGTGTATCTAGGATAAAACATGCTGTGCTTATATTAAGAATTGTTTGTCCTGGTTAAGTGACTATACCTAAACAGAGGTCAAGTACAGTGGCTGTAAATCAAGGGAATCGATGTGGAGACAGACATTTGAATTTTACAGTAAATGAGATGACTGGGAATGCTGGGAAAAAGTTAATGAATGTTGGCTGTCTGTGTGTTCCCACTGGTGATAGCTCATACTCTTTATAGGGATTCAGGAAGAGGCCATAAATTTTAGCTGGGTCATGCGTTGCACAGAGGTGAGGAGGAGTTATGGAGAGGAGATGGGAAAGTGTTATAAAGGAAGAGAGAGAGTGGAAGGGTGAGTGAGAGACAGAAATAAGGGGGCGTGGAGTTACCAAGAGACAAGCAGAGTGGTGACATAAAAAGACTAATGCAGCTTGTTTGACAGTGGAGAGACAGGGTGATGTAAAGTGGAACCGACCCTTGAGATGACATGCTGCAGGTGACTCACCATGAATCGTAGGTCATCAAAGCCATTGAGCAGGAGCTTGCTCTCGTACTGCGGCAGCCCCACGTGCTCCAGCCACTCTCCCACCGGCTGGTCCAGGGCTTTACCACAGGCCCCATCTGCCGAGAGAGGGAAGCGCTTCAGCAGGGAGAAGCCGTTCAGCCGGTAGCAGCGGCACTCAGAGGACGACACATGGCATTGCCACATCATCCTCGGCCAGCAGAAGCAGAGCCGAGTGCAGCAGCACCAGGCAGGGTAGGGGGGAGACAGGGTCCAGGCCGGGGGTGAGGGGCTCCCACAGTACAGGCGGGGGCCCGGCTAAACTCAAACACAGGAGGAGGAAAGGAAGTGCTGCAGGCACCGCTCAAGCCCTGCAGGGGACTGACTAGGCTAATATACACCCACTGGTGTTAGTGTGACTGACTAGATATGTCAGGCAAGGGTGGAGGTAGTGCGGGGAAGGGAGCCCATCTGAAGCTCTGTATTGTTAAGTTATGTTGGACTGAGCCACTACAGCATCTTCCAACAAACCGAGCTCACTAAGCATTCCTTTAGTGAGCAGATGAGCAAGTGTAAAAACAAGTGCCTAGTTCGTCCAAAATCATTACAACACACCACTACAAGTCACGAGACTAGATCATTTTCAGACTGAGTGGAAATGGAAATTATGTTTCACTAAATAAGACATTTTCATATACCTGACATTATTTACTCTGTTAAAAATATCCCCGTCACTTATTCTAAAATCAGAAACTACTCCATCAGGATGTAACACAGAAATACTCAGCTCCCCCAAAATGAATCTGTCAGGGTTTTCACCACATACTTGTAAAGCTCTGGCTGAGTCCCATGGCTTCATTGGTCAACCTCTTTGAGAGCTAGGACAAGGCTCATACAATGAAGGTAGCAGCATTCTAAAGTACTGTTGAGGTACGCGTGTAATTTTTGATCAAGGAATAGACATTTGCTTAAATCATATTTCGTCCTTACTCCACAGCCACACGGAGTACGGTCAGGTAGACATATTGTAAATCCTACATCAAAGAAACGTTGGCTTAGGCTTTCCACAGTGTGCTGATTCCAAACTCCTCAATTCATTATAAAATCCAAGTTTAGATTCCTTGATAAAGCTCCAGGTAAGCTGTCTGCCAAAGGAAAAAGGCTCAGTGTCCTTGGTGGTACCAGTGCTCCCTGTGCTGCCCACATTCACACTTTTCAGCAAGCTGCTGGATGTGCGGCTAAGCCAAAGAACGTGCTTCTCATCTCTGAAAGCAGTAAATCCAGGTTCAGATCCAACAGATGGCAGGTGAGCCTCTTGACTCTGAAGCGAGGATCACTGCAGGACCACAGTGCCGGTTAAGGTAGCTCCTTCCTGAGGCAGGCGCCCCCCACTCCCTCCCCAGCCCACCTGGTTCTTCCCCTTGCTGGGTGCAGCTAGCAGCCTCTGTGCTCAGGGCAGAGGTTTGCTGCATCCCCTGCCTGTCGGAGACACGCAGGCAGCGCAGATGCAGTCACAGCAGCTGCTCCTGGCTCACACACGCTACCCCTCACTGCTCACAGGGCATAGCGTCCTCACGCTGGCTACTTCTACACAGGAGACCAACGATCTGCCTTAAGCTCAGCCACTGCCGCCACGTCCTTCTCACATCCACGACAGCCAACAGACTCACTGTTCATCCCCCCCCTTCTCATCCAAGCAAATCCCTCAAGCTCTTCTTTGTAACTCCCCCCCCCCTCTTGTCTCTCTCGCTTCTCTCAGCTTTCTTTCTCTCAATCTCATAGCCCCATACCCATACTGTGTGATCGCACTGCAGGGCTGCCGTATGCTGCCTGATGAAGTGGGGTGCTGCTCCACGTAACCACCTCTCTCCCACTATATCACTTCCCCTCCCTCTGCCTCTCTCTCCCTCTCTGGCTTGCACCCTCCCTCACTCTGTCTCGCTCCTTGCCTCTCGTTCTCAAACACACAGACAGATGCAAACGCACGCACACTTTCTCTCTCGACTCATCGTCTGTCTGTCTACCCCTTCCCATTATATCTTGCTCCTCTTTCTCTCTCAATAAAATGCACACATACTCACTCTTTTCTGGCAGTGCCTCTCTAACCTTAACGTACCTCTCCCCCTCCACTGCACTGATTAGAATTGCACAGAAGCACTCTGATCTTGCCAGTGGAGAAAGGACACCACCATCAGAGGCGAGGAACAAGCTCCGAAAGCCCCAAATCACAGTCTTTTCCAGCTAAGAATGACTAGAATTTAAAGGGATGATGGGACCTCGATCCAGTTCTGCAGGAGCCACGCCAGTTTTTTTGGCTAACATGGGATATTGAAACAAAGACTCTGCTCAAATCCCTGCTTATTACCAGAAGGCTTTAATTCATTTACATCTTACTTTGATGATAGGACAAGGGGGGGCAGCATTGATTCAAGTCAGCAGAGTTTTTAATACACTTGGAGAAGAGAAGAGAAGAGAAGAGAAGAGAAGAGAAGAGAAGAGAAGAGAAGAGAAGAGAAAAGGACATGTCGAGACCTGCCTCTTCTCCATCTCATCTAGCATGACAGAAAAGAGGCAAATTCCATTATGTACTTCCAGATGCTCATGTCATGTCAACCATTTTTAGAGCACAACAGAGGCTTCTTACAGGAAAAAGCCTGCATAAGAAAGTAAGATGACATAAAATTTTTAGAATTGGGGTTAAAAATAAACAAATCAGGTCATGTGTGGCATTAACATGTCTTTAGTAATCTGATCACAACTGGACAACTGCAGAAGTTCACACTTGGCATTTGAATGCCAAGCTATCGCTTTTAATCATTTGCAACATCCCAAGACATTTGAATTGGAGGTAAAGACAATACAATATAACCCCAATGATTGAGCCCTCTGTGAGCTAACTCTTCATGATGGTGGGAAGTAAGGAACCTCGTTTAACTGGAAAAGACACACTGTAGAACCAGTATCAGGAAGGGGCAGGCATGTGCCTCGACTGGTTTGGGGGTTGAGGGGAAAGAGAATAAGGGGAAAAAGAGAGACAATGACAAAAACTAATGATAAGACCAAATACAGTGGGGCAAAAAAGTATTTAGTCAGCCACCGATTGTGCAAGTTCCCCCACCTAAAATGATGACAGAGGTCAGTAATTTGCACCAGAGGTACACTTCAACTGTGAGAGACAGAATGTGAAAAAAAAATCCATGAATCCACATGGTAGGATTTGTAAAGAATTTATTCGTAAATCAGGGTGGAAAATAAGTATTTGGTCAATAACAAAAATACAACTCAATACTTTGTAACATAACCTTTGTTGGCAATAACAGAGGTCAAACGTTTACTATAGGTCTTTACCAGGTTTGCACACACAGTAGCTGGTATTTTGGCCCATTCCTCCATGCAGATCTTCTCGAGAGCAGTGATGTTTTGGGGCTGTCGCCGAGCAACACGGACTTTCAACTCCCGCCACAGATTTTCTATGGGGTTGAGGTCTGGAGACTGGCTAGGCCACTCCAGGACTTTCAAATGCTTCTTACGGAGCCACTCCTTTGTTGCCCGGGCGGTGTGTTTTGGATCATTGTCATGTTGGAAGACCCAGCCTCGTTTCATCTTCAAAGTTCTCACTGATGGAAGGAGGTTTTGGCTCAAAATCTCACGATACATGGCCCCATTCATTCTGTCCTTAACACGGATCAGTCGTCCTGTCCCCTTGGCAGAAAAACAGCCCCATAGCATGATGTTTCCACCCCCATGCTTCACAGTAGGTATGGTGTTCTTGGGATGCAACTCAGTATTCTTCTTCCTCCAAACACGACGAGTTGAGTTTATACCAAAAAGTTCTACTTTGGTTTCATCTGACCACATGACATTCTCCCAATCCTCTGCTGTATCATCCATGTGCTCTCTGGCAAACTTCAGACGGGCCTGGACATGCACTGGCTTCAGCAGCGGAACACGTCTGGCACTGCGGGATTTGATTCCCTGCCGTTGTAGTGTGTTACTGATGGTGACCTTTGTTACTTTGGTCCCAGCTCTCTGCAGGTCATTCACCAGGTCCCCCCGTGTGGTTCTGGGATCTTTGCTCACCGTTCTCATGATCATTTTGACCCCACGGGATGAGATCTTGCGTGGAGCCCCAGATCGAGGGAGATTATCAGTGGTCTTGTATGTCTTCCATTTTCTGATGATTGCTCCCACAGTTGATTTTTTCACACCAAGCTGCTTGCCTATTGTAGATTCACTCTTCCCAGTCTGGTGCAGGTCTACAATACTTTTCCTGGTGTCCTTCGAAAGCTCTTTGGTCTTGGCCATGGCGGAGTTTGGAGTCTGACTGTTTGAGGCTGTGGACAGGTGTCTTTTATACAGATGATGAGTTCAAACAGGTGCCATTCATACAGGTAACGAGTGGGGGACAGAAAAGCTTCTTACAGAAGACGTTACAGGTCTGTGAGAGCCAGAGATTTTCCTTGTTTGAGGTGACCAAATACTTATTTTCCACCCTGATTTACGAATAAATTCTTTACAAATCCTACCATGTGGATTCATGGATTTTTTTTTCACATTCTGTCTCTCACAGTTGAAGTGTACCTCTGGTGCAAATTACTGACCTCTGTCATCATTTTAAGTGGGGGAACTTGCACAATCGGTGGCTGACTAAATACTTTTTTGCCCCACTGTACCAGATTCCTGCTGCAGTCTAATTTTTCAAACCAGCATCTCACTGCTCTACACAACAGCAGATTACTGTAAGCTATCACTAAGTAGATGGCAGTACCTTCCTGAGCCAGGTACTGCCAGAGGTTTCTTCTTGTTAGAAGGGAGCTTTTCCTTCACTGTCACCAAAGAACTTTCTCAGAGGGGCTTTTTCTTTCTTTGTATTATTGTAGGCTTTACAATATAAAGTGCCTTGACGCATCTACTGTTGTGATTTGGTGCTATGTAAATAAAATTGAGCTGAACTGAATTGAATTGCATTAAAGTGCCTTTAACAAATTACAAAATCATCCAACAGTCTTTCGCAGAAGTAATAATAAATAATAGCCACAGGTGTTCAAACTGCTAAAGCCAATGGCAGATGCACAGCTGTATTTTAGTGACTAGCAAAGCTTCAGTTGACAAGTGCAACTCTGCAGTCAAGTGGCTGAAAAATGAAGCCAATGCTAAAGTACCTGAAGTAGATAGCTTATAGTTATTGAACTGTAACTTTCTTTGTGGTGTTGGTGACCTTTTGACATTTAAACAGTTCAAGAGTCTGTGCCTCAGTTTTATTGCATAAAAATCTATTATTTTATGTACTATTAGAACTAAATTGTGAATATGTGTGGTATGTGCTTTGCACCTCCACGGTTTATGGAAGCATTTGCTAACCAAGTTTAGCACTTCATTTTTTCATCTAAATATGTCCATCTTTCATTATTCTGTCTTTTTTCCACAACATGTCAGGACCCACTAACCCAACACCTGAGCTTTGAAATGCAGTCTACACAAACCAATCCCTGATGTCCCAAATGTTACGTTTATCTTTTATATACAAAAAAGGTGAATCAAACCACCTTCAATGGAGGTCTGAGCTATGTGATCTCGGTACATCTTGAGTATATTCACACCTGTAATTAGAACTGTCCACTTGTGATCTTGACCAAAAATGCATGTTAATGACAGGTGAACAAGGCTTGAAAGACTCTCTCACTCACTTATGCAGGGTGTCCAGTGGTGTTATCCCAGTACAGCTCCAGGCAAAGCATTATTATGCAGGCTTTCAAGCAGCCTGCAATCACCTCACACATTCCCCAATGGGTAGCCAGCCAGTCAGTAAAGTAGAGAGGGCGAGAAGAAGCAATGACAACACAGGGAGGCAAAGTGAAGGGCTATTGATTGAACCTTCTCTTTAATTGGCCACGTATACCTTTGTTTCTTCGCCCTTAACAATTAGGTGAAAGGCCAAGTCAGGTCTCAATGACCTGTCAGTCATCCACAAGGACCGATGCTCATCATTCGTTATCAGGAAAAGAGGCTGCTATTAAATTTTCTGTGACTGAGGACAAGAATGATGGATAGGGGGAAGGAGAAAGGAAGGGAGAAGGAGAGAATGTGCAAGAGAGATAAGACGGAAAAAGACTAATAGAGGAGGAGGCGATGAAACATATGGGTGAGATAAGATGGTAATAGGAAGTAAGAAGGATTGAAGTGGACTAATTATGATTCACTACAAGATCCCACAACTCCTCCTTCTCATACTTTACACTTTTCTTCTAAGCCTCATACCAATCTCAGCTTTTACGATACAACAAAACTGCTCAAAATACCATCCACCCCACCCAATTTTTTTCATTCTTTTGGGACAGGAACACCTCCCACGATAGTAAAACCTAATTACTGACTGACAGAGGATCCAATTCTCCTTTGGGGGGTGGGGGGAAATGGGTCACTGTCTTATCCCCTGTTAAACAGCCCAAGCTGTGAAATCTGTCCAAGTGGGTTTCTGTGCTGTGTGAGCACTACGAGGTCTAGACTTGGCTCCACGGAACACCCCAAATGGCCTATTTACCGAAGAAGAGGTAGAGGTTGTGTGTAGATAAAGCCATGCCTTTTTATCAGAGCAGGAGAAAAGCAGTAGCTCCTTGTCAACACACCCAAGCACTGGAGAAAATGAGCCGCAAAGCTGAATTAATTCAGAGAAACTGAAGGCGGACTCTTTTCCTTTGAACGTCAGAGTGTGCCTGTACACAAACCGAGCCGATGCCTCCTGTGTGCTGTTAGCTGTGCGGTCTCTCTCCAGTCCCTCTCTTATTCTAAGCACATTTACTCAGTGAACTCTTTCATACAATCAAGGCACTTGTGATGGGCACACAACACAAACATCATTATCTTTGAGGATTTATATGGTACAAAACTGCATTAACATTTTGCTAGCCGAGAAAATCAGATTCTTTTCAGAAATTGCTTCGAGAAGATGAATGACCATCCTTCACTTGTGTTATGAAGTGGATAAGTTTTTCCTCATCCTGTCACAACAAAAGCTAAAAGTGGAATAAAGATTTACAATTTAGGTTTCCATCTTTGTATAATCCCTCCTACATCTCTCCCCTCCTATCTACGTGTACCTCCTTCCCCATGTGATTACTCTGAAGGGTAGCCGATCCTTCCCTTACACAGTGAAAAAAGAAATATGACCTTTTTATTAAGAGAGACACAAAAAAGCATCCTGGCAACCATCAGAACTAGTTGTGCACAATCTCCGATTTAAATCGGAGCAGCAAGTGTATGACTCAGCTGAATCTGGGACACTTTCAGCATGTCATTCTTCAAACAAGGACTATTAATAGCACACACCTATAAGTGTAGCGAAAACAAACACCATATTTGCTCTTACGTAATGTGGAATAACTCCAGGTCTTAATTGCTTAGATAGTATTTAATCCAACACTGCTCACTGAGCTGGAATTTAAATCAAAATTAAAATGATAAATTAACAAGCTTTCCTTAAAAAAAGACATATTTGAGCTTAAAGATGATGAATGAACAGAAATTATCCTTAAAAGAATTGAATTGTGATGAAATAAGTACATTTAATGATTTCTAAGAACAGTTTATTTTTATTGTTTTTGATATACTTTCGTCCTCTTCTTTTGAAAATGTACATTTCTAAATTGTGAGTTTCTTAAAAGCACTTTGATCTGCATTTTTTTACTTTAGGGGAAATCATAAAGATTGAGAATTTTCACCTTATTGTTGCCACTCAAAAAGCTGTATAATGTTTATTTACTTTTACAATATAGGTTTTACTTCTCAAGGCTAACAGAAAATCGATTGTCTTCCTGACATGACGACTGAAAATAAAATTTAATGCTAAATCCAAAACAGAAAATTTACAATCTTCACTATTTTATATTAAAAGTGGTCAAAGCAATCACATAAATACACCAAATGGACATTTGTAAGAGGAATACAGAAAGATGTTATGGAAGAAATGACAGCATTGAATCACAAATATGATGAAAGAAACTCTCTCGTTGCTTTGGTCAGCAGACACTGCAGCCCATAAAGCATACTGCACATTACTAATGAAAATGTTATCCCAATAAATCTGATGAGACACGTAAAACGCAGTCCTGTGCAGAAAAACACCCTTACA